GTCGTTTACGACATATTCCTGGTGCTACACATGAAATAGATGTTTCACTCACGTAGCGCTCGATGCATTAAAGTTCATGCTCAATAATCCAGGTAAAAAATCCAACAAAGTCAAGTCAGGTCCTCTGGACGGTTTCTCTTTTTGTTGAAACATTTCGTCCTTCATCCACTTTGACCCACTGAGTAAACCACTTATGGGACTCAGTTTGTTGTGGCTCCTCGGACTGATGAAGTCCTTTGTTTGAAAGATAAAATGTTTCAACGACAAAAGAAACCATCAAGAGGACCTTATTTAACTTTGTTGGGTAGAGCTTGACAGTTATTTGCAAGAACAAACAGCAGCAGCTAGCTGTTGCACTTCTGGATTCTCTCTCTCCTTCAGGCCGTAGGTCTCGCTCCTTTCAGAGCAGGGTCAGCCACGTGGATCGTCCTTCTTCATTTTGCTCTGTTTCATGTATCGTCTGTTGTGAGGTGGAGTGTCTTCGCATCCATCCACCTCTTCTCCTGCCATCCCCTGCTTCATTGACTGAAAACTTGTGCATTTAATAGTTTAAAAGCCTTTTTAACGTGTTGGCATCTTCCGTTCACTGCACATGCCCATACCAGCTCATTCTGGATTCCTGTATCTTATCCGTGATGCCACGCCAAGCGTTTTTTCTGATATCATCATTTTGCCGTCTATCCTTGAGGGATACTCCAAGAATCCTACATAGCATCCTCATTTCTGTTCTTTCCAGGAGTTCCTCTTCCTTTCTCTTTAATATCCATACCTCAGCTCCACAAAGCAAGACGGGGTGCACCATCATCTTGCACACTTTCCCGTTTTTTGCATAATCTCACTGTATTTCTGTACAAAGCTAATGAAGCTTGTTCTGAATCTGATTTAATGTGAATTGGCATCCTTTTGTCACAAAGTGCTCCTGTCAACTTCTTGGATGACTCCTTGGATGTTGCACTCCTGGATTGTTGCTGTTTTAAGACGGCAGCAGTCCACCTTTCCCTGGCCCTGCTCAAACTAGCCATTAGCTCATCGGTCTGCTCTTATCTCTGTTTTTCTAAACTGAGGTTGTTTATTTTTTAAAAAAATCTTCAAATGGTTATCAGTGCTGGATGTCTGCTACGGTCCCGTTTCATCCCACATAGCAGAACCTGTCCCGAGGCAAAGGTCAGCTCACCAGTCAGGAGCAGACACGTTGTACCGTAGGCTGCGCAGAAAAAAAGAAAGCATCGGGGCGCGACGGTGCGTGGCCTTTCCTGGTTTGACAAACAACGCCGGTGACCTTTATACCAAGCCCGGTTCAAAAATGTTAAGCGGTCGGATTTCCCAGAAAACTGGCATCCATGTCCATGTTCACGGTATCATTTCAGGATAATTGAAGGCAACGTTAGACGGTGCCTTGTTAGCACGTCCGAGGCCTGATTGTGGTGCTAGAATGTGTCTCATTATCTATAAGAGCCTGGCACTGACGGGTTGGTATAATGAAGATTACTGTATGAGATAATGTAATGACAGGAGGAGAAAGGATCAAACAGCCACTTATAACACTGGAGTGCTTGCTTTCCTCCCACATATTAGCAACCAGAACTTGTAAATGATACGATGCAGGAATGAAACAGTCACGAGACACAAATGCAGCAAATTAGACCATTTCCTTAAAACAATTCTGCGCACGACTGCAACTAAATTTATTGTTATGCAGCGAGCGGTGATAATGGGGTAATACAGTAGTCCCTCGCTACTTCGCGGTTCATTTATCGCGGACTCGCTCTATTGCGGTTTTTCAAAATAAGATCGGACTCTACACATAATGGCTGATTGATGGATGAGCCGCACGATCGGCTTGGAATTTTTATTCAAAACAAAATATTTAAAATTATTTAGCACCTGCTGAACCTTTGTGCAGCCCTTACTGCAGGATAAGCTTCCTGCTGCAGCTGATCAGCTGTTCTCCGTGCAGAGCAGAGAAATGGGCGTGGCCAAGAGCGCTTGCATGTGGCAAAAAGCAGAGGAGGCAGAGAGCTGAAATCATGACATTCTGTGCTCTTTTATTAAAATGCCTTTATATATATATACTAAAATAAACTACTACTTACAACTTGTACTACAATTCCTACTTCACGGTTTTTGGCTGATCGCGGGGCTTTAGGGTACGGATCCCCCGTGATAAACCAGGGACTACTGTATGTGATATGTGACCCGTGCTGGCAAAATGTGGTAATTTAATTTAGCCACAAGCTAGTTTTGTTTATGTGTCTGTCTCAATTTGTTGAGTTTGGGTCCAGGAGTGCAGGCCAAACAAAAGAACTCAACCAAAACGTGTTTTTTAATTTTTATTTATTAATTGAAGAACTGAAACAAAGGCTGCTGTGGCAGGTTTATGTAGTACTCGTACAAGGACACGAGTCTAAACCAGACATGGCATGGCGTTCAAACAATGGTAGTCTGAAGAGTGAGGTGACGAAAGAGGAAATAACTAAATAAATAAAAAACTGCCACAACATGATCATAAACTGTGATCCTGACAGTAGCTTACCTCAAAATCTGACGTTACTGGATCAAAATAAAGCAGAAAAAAGTGAGGGTTGGACCCCCCTCCCTCCCATTAAGAGTTGCACCCCCACCAGCCGCAATAAGAAGCGCAACTTTCTAAATTGCCGAACATTAATCAAATCACACAATAACCTATTTTATTCAACGTGCCAACCTTTTCCTGTCATCTAAAACATATTTTCAAACGTTGTGAACAGTTAAAATCTTGCAACCTCAGTTTGGAAAAAATAAAAAGTTGAGCTCTGACTGGATTGATGAGCTAACAGCTAATCTACAACCAACGTGGATTGGCCGTATGTGTAAATCGGATCTAATCTTCAATCAATTAGATCAGTCAATACAACGCAGTTTAATAAACCCTCACACAGCCATCCATTTCACACGACATGGTTTTGGCAGAAATATTATAATATTCCTGCTAGAAGGACCCAAAGATGAGCCATGCTAGCTAGCTAATGCTGCCACTGTTTGCTCTTTTAAATAACCCTTTAAACTGTTCTCTTCATATTAGCCATTAGCTTGTCAATCTGCTCAGAATGAAACTCCATTTATTCAAACTTAAGTTATCCAAATAGCTATCCACAACAAAAGATATTGATTTTCCATAGATTTTCAACAGAATCCCGCTTCGAAACTGTCGCTGTAAGACTAGAATATCTACTTTTGATCGGAGGAAAACAGTTTTTAAAGCAGAACCAGACTCGAGAAAGTCCCACCAGCTGCAGCTGAAGGCTGCCAGGTTGGCAAGAAAGGTGACAACCGATCACAAAGACGCATTTTAAACTTTAAAAATCAAAAACGCGTCTTCACTGTCTACGTTTCTTGAAAACCTTCCTTCCCAGCATCATCCTGGTGGGACTTCTCAAACAGTAGAATTACCATCGCAGAAAACACTGATTAGTTTTAGACAAAATAAATGATTGAACTTCGGCTTTCGAGTAAACAAACACAAGTGCTTAAATTGTAAGCAGCCATTATATCAAGACAAACCAGATGTGCTTTAGGAAAACGAGTAGGAAAGAGGAAACAGCCACACATTAGGTCAGATTGTATGTAGTTCACAGAGCTGAAGCCAGCCAAATGATGATTATTATTATATCAGAGCATTAAAAGTACCACCGACGCTTCAGGCAGGGAGAAAATACAAAGTATGTCGTGTTACATCTTCAACATGCTTATTACCAGCACAGAAATATAAAGCCATAAAACCAAACAAGACACAAATAACAACAACAAAAAATGTGTTGTTAGCTCAAAATGCGGAAACAAGACTTATTCTAAGATATAATTGTTAAATTAAATGGCTACGCATGTCCTTTCTTGGCCACCATACATTTTAAATAAATAATTCATAATAAAATGTTGTTTTAAGGGAAAAAATATTCTATATCTTAAGAAACAAGACTAACTATTCTCAGTAAGTAAGAAAAAATATATTTATTATGTCACAAAAAATGTCTCTTGTCTAGAAACTGGATAATAACTCTATTTTCATCCTGAAATAAAGTATTTAAATAAATGAAATTGAACTGAAATGAGATGACAATGTTTTTAAACATGTCTCCTCTTGGCTTCCATACATTTTGTTAATATCCAGTAAAATAAATATTTCAGTGTGTTATCTCAAAAGAACAAGAAAGATAAGATAAATTCACAAAATAAATTTCCAAATTTCTCATCATACAGTAAATAAATAATTATTATATCCAGTGAACAAGCTTGTCTTGATATAAAAGCATCATTATTTTGAAAAAAAGACGTGTTTATCTCAAAATAAGATCTTGAATAAACATGTCCTCCCTTGACTTCCACAGTTTTCTACAACCAATTAAAGAAACATTTCAATTTGTGATCTCTAGTAAATAAGATTTTTATGAGATAAGAAATAAACAAGTCATTATCTTGCCAAAAAAATTGATAAAAATCTATCTTAAGATAAATTCACAAAAATAAATTTCCAAGTTTTGTCATCTCTTGGCTTCCATATTGGTCAAAATAAATACAGCAAGCAACTAAATTATTATAAAACCCTATTATATCCAACAAGCTTGGCTTGAGAAAAGAAGTATTTGTTATTGCGAAATAAGATCTTGAATAAAGTGTCCTCTCCTGGCTTCCATACTTTCATTGTCAAATACAATAACATTAAAATACAACAAGCTTGGTATCAGAAAACAAACAACTTTATTGTTATTATTATTATTGCTTATTTATTTTAAAGAAGGGAGCATTGTTTATCTTGATACAGTATATGAAATTAACGTTTCTAAAATTGTCCTCTTTCAGCTTCCATACACAACTTTCCAACTCAGAAAATAGTTTTTTTTTTTTTTTTTTTTGTCAGTCATGGACTCAAAAAGTAAACTACCATTTAAAAAGTAACATAAGAATATTTATTTTTACTTTTTTATTACACACACACAAAAAAAAAATGCAGACTAGCATCGTACCTAGCCCGACTCCTACGATTATCCTCCCGGCCAGGAGCGCCTCTTTCCCGGGCGCGCTGCTCAGCACCACCCCGCCGACCGTGAAGAAGAAGCTGGCCAGCAGGATGCAGACCCTGCGCCCGAACAGCCCGTTGAGGAAGCCGCCCAGCAGCGCGGACAGCGCCGCCGCCGCCACGGTGCTCGATATGAGCAGCTCCTGCCACAGCGCGCTCAGCTCCAGCTCCCGCTTCAGCATCAGCATCGCCCCGGAGATCACCCCGGTGTCGTAGCCGAACAGGAACCCGCCGAGAGCGGAGAACGCCGCCAGGACGTAGACGAAGCCGGGCGTGACATCTTGCTGGAACTGCTTGCGGGCAGCCCTCTCCAGGTCCCCGGTGGAGGCGCAGGAGGAGGCGGCTGGAGCCGGAGCACCTGCGGCGGAGACGCCCTGGCTGCTGATGCTGGCGTTGGACGGAGCCTTGATGAGGCTCCGCTCGCCTCCGTCGCTCCTCTTCCAGCGCTCCCCCATCAGGTTGCTCATACTACGGAGGGTGTAGTCATGGTCGACCTGCTTTCGAGACATAAATGCAAGAGACAGAAGAAGAAGCGGCGGAGCTGATGTTTCCAAAGAGAGGAACAAAAGCCCGGCTGCAATGTCCCCTCAGACCTGCGCCTAAAAGTTCTTAAAGTTGTTTTTATTCATCGGAGCATCTCCGGTGGTCCTGATGGGAGAGTTGGAGAAAAGTGGAGAGGAAAGGTGAGCAAGGAGGAGGTGTAGAGAGCCAGGTCGTCACCAGCAGCGTCGGCGTGACGCAAACATTGTTTTGGTAACGTGGTGAAGACAGGCGGTCAGGAATTAGACGGATCCATGTCACCTAAATCAGGCTTTTATTCTGAAAAATTACACACTGAGCCCAACAAAATACAGTAAATATTTTTTATTAAAGATGAGAGAAACTGAGTTGACGCTAAAAAAGTAGAATAGAAGCTTAAAGGAGCAAACCAAAAGCTAAAGCAGCAAAAAACTAGCTCAAAGCTAAAGTAGCAAAATGCTAGCAGAAAGCAGCAAAACACTAGCTCAAAACTAAAGTAGCAAAAGGCTAGCAGAAAGCAGGAAAACACTAACTCAAAGCTAAAGTAGCAAAAGGCTAGAAGAAAGCAGCAAAACACTAGCTCAAAACTAAAGTAGCAAAAGGCTAGCAGAAAGCAGGAAAACACTAGCTCAAAGCTAAAGTAGCAAAAGGCTAGCAGGAAGTAGCAAAACACTAGCTCAAAGCTAAAATAGCAAAAGGCTAGCAGAAAGCAGGAAAACACTAACTCAAAGCTAAAGTAGCAAAAGGCTAGAAGAAAGCAGCAAAACACTAGCTCAAAGCTAAAGTAGAAAAAGGCTAGCAGAAAGTAGCAAAACACTAGCTCAAAACTAAAATAGCAAAAGGCTAGCAGGAAGCAGCAAAACACTAGCTCAAAGCTAAAGTAGCAAAAGGCTAGCAGAAAG